TCCTTCTCCTTGTCCTTGCAGTGCCCACAGCCTGGCAGTTGCTTCCCCACCCCAGCACCTTGTCCCCCACCATCCCCAGGCCTAATCCTGCTCCCAGGATGGGATCCCAGTGCCCTCTAGTGCCCATGAGGAGTTCCGTGGAAACAGGTTTTGAGATGGGAAGCGCTGGCCAAGCTGTGCCCTGGGATCACTGGGGGCTCTGGGACCCCAGCAGCTCCAGCTCAGGGTCAAACCCAACCTGTGGGTTTGGGGCTGTCCATATCCCAGGGTGAGCTCAGAGTCAGCAGCGTTTGCTGCCTGTGATGCAGGGCTGGATTATGGCTCAGGTCACTCATCTTCCGTGTCCCCGGGACAGAGGTCTCATCCACCTGGGTGAGAGCAGGAGCTCCCCGGGGACGTGACTCAGAGCCAGAGGGACAAATCCACGCAACAAGCACCTCTGCCCTCGTGGCTGGGGAGAGGACAGGGCTGCCGGCATGGGCCAGGTTTGCTGAGCAGGTCCAGCCCAGCTCGGACTCCCCAGTTTGGGGAATCACCGCACGGGGACAGCGATCACTCATCACCCCCGGGCTGTCCCGCGGTGACAGATAGGCCCCCGGGTGCGCACATCAGGCGTCCCCACTGGGCTGGTGGCAGCCACCAACAAACATCCATCTTTAACGCTGAAACGTGCCCCTAGTAGCTGAAGAAAGCGAAAAGCCCGTTGTACCGCTGGGCCACTGAGAGGCCTCAGCTCCTCCCGCACCGCGGCCACGCCTGCCGAAAGAGAAACGTGTGCCTCACTCTCTGTTATATACACCCCGCCGGGCCGCGATTGGCTGACAGAGAGCGCTTGGCAGCCCCGGATTGGTGGGGAGCGCGAGCCCTGCCCTGGGATTGGCCAGGACGCGCCGGGGGGGGGATGCTCCGCCCGGCCGGCAGGGGGCGCTGTTCCCGCGCCGCGCCCGCTCCGGGATCGGTCCCGGGGGGACCCTCGGGGGGACCCGGAAAGCTTCGGGGGGACCCTCGGGGCGTCCTGGCCGTGCTCCCCCGGCTCCCCGCCTCGGCTCAGGCCTGCCAAGCGAGGGTTGAAGCCCCCGGCGAGGCGCCCCCCCCCCC